TATTAAATTAATAATATTAAAATTTTTATATAAATATATATTTAAATAATAATAAAATATAATAATAAAATAATTAATTAATTAAATTTTAATTATATAATTAATTAAATAAAAAAAGATTTATAAATTGTAGGAAAAATCTTTTTTACTTAATTATAAGTGGGGTACAGCCCTATTAGCCTTAACCTTAATGCACGTGTTACGCGAGCACGTAACTATTATTCTAACATTAACAATTATGCTAAAATGAAAAAAATAATCGCACATTAAACTAAAGTTGGTAGGAGGTCATTTGCCACAATTTAGAAAATATTAAATATATATTTCCAAGCCTCATTACGGCTTATTATAATAGACATATTGATTTAACCAGTATAACCTAGGAGATTGGACAATATACACTTAAATAACTTTACCATTTCAGCAGTTACGGCATTATAATTGGTACCATTCTATAGCCCCAATTGATGCGAAAACAATGATCCAAGTTGCATTTAAATCGGCCTCTTCGTTGTTGTGTTATAGTAGAATCAAATAGCGCTTGTCTGGAAAGGGAAGCACGTGACACCCTTTACAAGCACCTTTTTTCAATTAAGCTCCGAATACTTTAATAGCAATATAGTACTCAATACCCATCGCATAAGAATGCAACTTGGACCATTAGTTTCGCATGACTTGGGGCTATTAAATAGTACTAATTCTAATGTTGTAATTGTTGAAATAGTAAAGTTATTTGAATGTGTAGATGTGTAGATGTGGTAGTTGAAATTGAATTGAATTGAATGAGAGGTATGTATTACCAGGCGGGCTGTGTGGGATTTAGCCAATAGGAGGGCTCGCATGTGGTTGAGAGGATGAACATGAGGTACAAAAAGATACTAGGAAAATTGTATGGTGGGATACGTACCTGTGGTTTACCCTACCCCCCAACTGCCGAGCTAGTGTTGCTCCTTTTAAAACATATAATATATAATGCTATAAGGTATGTATTTACAAAGAATGATTCATTTTTCCTATATAAAATGCGAAGTACCGTAATAAATCGAGCTAATTGCACTAACCTGTGGCTAATTACCCTTTTAAGCTAAGTTCCCATAATCTTTTTTCATTTTGGCACAGTTGTTAGTCTGGTCAACCGTAAACACACTATGTTCGCTACGAGGATCAACCATGTTCCCCGTCCTCTTTTCCTTTCCGTCTAGCTACCTAATAAATGAGAGTGCTTATGGAATATGAGCTGCTCCGGGCAACCCTAACTCGAGATACATTCAAACATCCATTTAACCGTAATATCTAAGAAAGGAGTATTTGTTTCATACCTTCTCAGCATCCACCGAAGGGTCCAGCCTTTAGGAGAATCCTATAACTCGTCTCACTCACTAGAGGGGAGTCGCGCCGTACTTGAGCAGCACATCTACTGCTCCTTGGTTTTGCTTCGCCATGGCAATCTGCAAAGGAAGGCAATACTCAAATGTAAGAGGTCGCATGAGAGGCATATTCGGATCGGCCCCTCCGCAGAGGAGGACATCAAGGCACGAATTCGAGTATCTGGTTGTTCCTTGATCGCACACATGATACATAGACCGGACCTGTTCGATCGCCGGCGCCGAGCGAAATAAATCCCGTTGAACCATGCCTCGCACGACCTCGGGGTTTCCACACAGGACGGCTCGTAGGAGGGCTCCGGTATGAGGCTTGCCGGTGGACCGGTTGATGAGTTCCGGGAAGGGGTTTGCGCCATGATCAAGTAGAAGCTCGCACATGGCCAAATTTCCTTGGTCGATGGCTAGATCAAGCGGAGTCTCTCCTTTCTGGTTGGACTGGTTTGGGTCCGCACCCCTTTCCAGTAGCATCCGCGCAACCGTTATATCTTTACCCCTACATGCATATAGTAGGGGAGTCCATCCCGTCTTGGAGACATATTGCCAAGGCGCACCGGCATCAAGGATGACGCTTGCAACAGCAAAGCTTCTAGACTCCAAAGCTTTGAGCAAGCGTGTCTTTGTAGCCAACATCGTAACTGCATCTTCGAACTGTAAAGCATATTGGAGAGAAGCAACCTGATTCTTGTCGATAGCCTTGGTTATCATCGAGGCTAATGCCGCATTTGATGGAAGCCTCGCGTTAAACTTTTGTAGGAGTCCGCAGATTTCTATATGACCACCCATAAACAGCCGGTGAATTAGAGATTCAGTAGGACTGCTAGTCGCGTCAGGGGGTGAACCATGCTCCAATAATAATTCGAACATGGTAAACTTGTCAGGGTGTTTTTCCTTCGAAAGGGATAATATCTCCAAAGCGGACCGCCCACAGTAATCCACGTTGGTTGTCGAGGCACCCCTCTGAAGTAGCAACCTAATAGTCGGGAGTAGATGATTCAGGTCACCTTTAAAGTTACACGCATTCATGAGCGGAGTCATTTCAAGGGAATCCCGAGAATCAACCACGGCTCCGGCGTCGAGTAGGTACTCCACGATTAGATCCAAGCCCCCCGCGGCCGCGAGCGCTAGAGGGGTCGCACCATCGGGGTTCTTCGCATTAACGTCTACCCCGGCCTCGACGAGCCGCTTTACAAGTGTTAATCGACTATCTTTGTACCCATACCCGGGCTTAGCTTCTGAACTTGAGGTGTTCGAATATATACCGGGAGCCTCGCAACAATGATGTAAATATGTAGCTCCAAGGCAGGAACTAGGGTCGGCACCCCGATCGATGAGATTGAGCGCATCTTGGAAACACCCTCTCGCGCACGCATCCAAGAGCAGCGTGCAACCATTGCTATCCCGAGCATTAATGTTTGCGCCATGTTGTACCAGCCAGTCGATCATATTCCAACGACCTGCCTTATAGGCCCAGTGAAGCGGGCTCATGCCATGCTGATCTTCAATGTCGATTGGTGGCTGGTAGTGGTCTAGGAGGAATTGGGAAAGGTCGGGAGCATCTACAGAGCTTGATATGTGTAGAGCGGTTATGTAATTGCTTGAAGAACCCAATTCTCTTGACGCTACCTGGAAAGAGGCGCCTCGGGCTACTAGGATCTGGGCTGTGGAATAATTCATATGGCACTAGATATAAGGATAAGCAATTGAAAATATGGTGAATCTCTGACCAGATGGATATGTCCATGGACCTACTATAGCTGTATGAAGAGGCCTCCACCATGGAAGCCCTGCTTCGTCTGAAGATGAGCTGTGATCATATTCGTGCGGACCTCTGGGACCTCTGCACGAGCAGAATCCATGAGAGGGGGCGTTGATGTTCGCGCCATGATCCAATAGCAAATTGACGATATCGTCATGACCTAGACGGGCAGCAAGATGGAGAGGTGAACATTGCTGTGAAGGTGGTGTATCGGACCGCTGTTGTGGCCTCATTCTAATGCCAGTGATCATGAACCGCTCTTCATCGAATTGGGCTGCCAGTTGCCGAAAGCTTCGTTGGAGCGATGAGCGTTCACTACGTTCACTAATAAGACCAGGCTGGGGAAGTATGGGATTGGCTTGGTCCGGATTGGTGCCTGCTACTAGTAGTTTCATAACTACTTGGGTTCTTCCCAACTCAACAGCCCAGAAGAGGGTGTTTATGTCGTTCCCAGCTCGACGATAAAGAACGTGATCTAGAGCTTGATAGAGAACACGACAACAACGACAGGTCATCGAAATATCCCTAATGTCCAGGTGTCCCGCAACGAGAGTGAGGAGTTCATTGGGTAATTGTAGGAGCGTCATTTTTTCGGCTGTTTGCTTCTCAGCTCACTCCTTTTCTAGAATTAGTTATAGAATAGGCGTAGTCACTTTTATATAAAAAAGTATGTGTGAGTAGAATAGTATTTACTATCGACGTAAACATTTGAGTCATAAAACACTTCAACGCGAATGTCAACGCGAATGTAAACGCGGACGCGAAGTTGGAGTAATATAGGCGTTCTGCAAGTAAGATTCTCTTGTTACCTAAGCGGCTAAGGCAACAGGACAAGAAGCTGGCCAAGTGGCGCAGATAGACCGAGTCACGAGATTTATTCTTGCCAATCAGCTCGACTTGGAGTTGGGTATGAATGCAATAGGACTTGTCTCTTATGCATGACTCCGAATGAGATTTGCTTTTCCACGAACCTGAATCCAAAGGAACAAAACGTCACGTGAGTATCACGTGTATATCTTGTAGAGACAGAGTTGACAAGAGTAGAAGTTCTATATTTACCTAAGCTCTCCTATTTATGCGTACCAAACCCAAGGTACATATATAGTCCTCTCCCCTCCCCCTTTAAGTGTCTTATCAAGTCTTATATATTCAATTAGTACTGCCACAATTTTTCAACCAATCAGATACTTAGAATCGCCCCGCAGTTTGCGACTTTTCCCTTTGCCATTCTATCGCATGACGTCTGCAAAAGGTGCAAATAGTATAGAAATGTCATGCAAAACGAGCTCTATCTAACGATACCAATTATTAAACTTTTTATACAATATTAAAATAGTTCAATTGATTTCACAAAAGATTCATCGGACGTGCGCTGAGGTGTGGCTAGCCAATCAGAGGCCAGATCTATTTGTGGCGTGAGTTTTGCGCATGATTCCCCCCCTTTTTTCCTTCTCTTTCCCCCGTCCGCGGCTTGAGCGGACGGGGCAACGCTGCTAGTTTTACACCAATATTGGGCAAGTATTTGAGCATAATTCAACCCGAATAACAGTAGTGACGCACTACAGTTATATTATTATATAGTTGAATGATTCCTACAAGCGATAACTTTCAACTGATGTATTTGGTAAGTTATAAGCTGTAGTATATTTATTTCTAGTTTATTAAGCTATTAGGAAAAACCACACAATGACATGTAAGTAGGTAGTTTGTATTCTGGTTATCCAATTACATACTAAGACTCATGATCTCATCACTTATAATAACTGAGGATATCTAAGTTGGGCTTCAATCTAAGCTACAGTAGTAAGTAACTTGGTAATCTCTTAACCCTTTCCCAAGGAAAGAAACATCATTTGTATGAACTTACATGTCAATATAACCGAACGCCCTGTACAGTATAAAAATAGTAAAATAAATAGTTAAGGATACAGTGTAAATGGCATTTAGGCACGGTGGACAGAATTGCTTAGAAGACTTGTAAGCAGGTATTCCGTAGTCAGTCTATTGTTAGACTCACACTATTGTTGGACGATAGGGATATTTTCTATAATAGGTAAAGTTGAATATGACATTGCCCTTAATTACCTTTTCTCGAAACTGAACTGACCCTCCAGCTGATTGGCCACGGCAGACGACGGGTAGATCAAACATTAGCTTGGCTGATGAAACCCAAAGCCAAATCAAATCGAGGGAAGTAAATCTAACTAACTACCTACAAATAAAAGTGATGTAATAGGTAACGTGGAAAATTGGTATTTCTCGTGTCTTACACGGTTTCTTACACGGTTGCATGAATATCATTATCGTCGTGGCTTACGGCGGGAAGGGTGTCACCATTTATCTCTCACCTAGCTATCCGAATGATAATCTGAACTATCATCAGTCAGATTTTCCCTTGATATGAACTTGCATGATATGCAGCCACAAAGAAGGACACGTGCAAGTAAAATGCAACCGTATCTGTCGAATTTTGAACAGACCCCTAAAATTCTATCTTCTCTGCATTAAGTACCGATGAGCACAAGCAGGCTGCGAAGGAAAAAAAAAGATCGGACGACGTTACGATCAGAAAATGCCTGGGGTCTATGAAACCAATCAGAGGTTAGATGACGAACATGGCTTTAAGGTTAAACGAGCTGATTGGTCAATTCTTGAAATCCAATTAAACGCGGTTAAGCATTTGACGCGTTGACTTCGCGTCTCGACGCGTCTCCCACATCTCCCACATTTTACTCAGTTCCACTACTCAGTTCCCACTCTTCCCCTCCTCGTCAACCCTTGGCTTTTGCCGGCTTTCCACTGCCCCGATAATGATTAACATGTCCAGCGATCGCACCAAATACCGGTTGAAACCAACCGGGGAATTTTGCGTAAAGTGCATGCAGAGCCTACCCTAGGTTAGGTACACTCTTCAATGTCTATCGCCCCGTGTGCATTATCAGTACCTAATGTCAGTACCTAATGCAAGGGCACTGGGAGAAGGAGGGGTGATCGTAAGGTCTCGGGCTGTTTCCCGCTGCTACTTGGTGAGACGAATATACCGTACGAATATAGGATATACCTTCTTCAATGTTACGACATAGAAGTCTATCCTAATCAAAGAAATCGTCATGCAACGCGCAGAGATCGACAGGAAGTTGGAGATCTGGTTTGCCCTACGATACCCGGAACTACGTAGTATATACAGGTGAAAAATGATTAACTGTCAAGGCTTCGTCACCTAAGCTGACTGGAATTTGACGGTGACCGTTCGCGGCAAATGGCCTTACGCGCTTTCATTCTCCCGGCTGCCCGGCCACATTCTCACCTCGATAGAACTGTTCTCGGATTGTCCGCGGGTTCCACCGCATGTCCATTTAGAAAGGTGTAATGCCTATCTGATAGGTACTCTTCACGGCTCTAGATTACGTGTTGCTAGGTGCATTACGTATTACACATTCTAACCTAGGACTTGAAAACAACTCCCTTCGATATTCTAGGTATTCGAGGGCGCAAAGGGCGGTTGCAGTCAAACACTTTAACAACATCTAGATCGGAAGATATAATAGTCAATCTGACGATAAGCTACCTTAAGGTAGTAGCACACCATCGTAAAAGGAGATTTTGGTTGAGACTATATTGTGAGACTATTCCCAACGCAGACCAAGTTACAACGTCTAGTTTTTAAGGGCAGTGGACCTGGACCGTGGACGGGTCGATCAGGTCTAGCGGATTTTGTTCTGCCCTGCAAGGTGCCCTCGTGCCCCTCGTGGCACACCATCTTCACGGAGGAGCTAAAGAGTTAGGAGGTGATAAATTACTAAGAAGGTTTAGAATCAATGGTGTAAGGGTTGTGTCAAAGTCTCAATTGGGTTGTAGTGTACCTAAAGTGCTTGCTTATATTCCGTAACTACCTCATAAAAGTGCTTCTCACCTTCTTACCCTCTTACCTTAACCCCTGGTTCGTCTGGGCTACATAGTACATTCATGGTATTGTACCTTGGATACCCTCCCTTGATGTAGGCTAGGATGTACCTAACTTTTTAACGGACAGGGTCACTCTCCATAGCGGTTAAGCTAGGCCAGTACCTGAACTCTGATCCACTATATTGGCCCCATAGTGTACACCTCTAGACCGAAAACGGTACGTATCATGTGGGCCATCCGTGCGACCCTGGACACAGGCAGTGCAGTTTTAACCCGTTCCTGGGGGATTCTTTCTCTTTTTTGTTGGTCTTATTAGGCGCATTATTCCAGCCCTCCCGTCTCCCACTCCGAGCTTCCACTTTCCCACTTACACCTCATCTCCTAGCAACCGCCCGTTGATCGTCCGCGTTTCCCGTCGCATAACAATCATCACTCAACTCCAACATACCTCGTTACTATCACATATCACAACTTACTCTTGAATATAAGACTATAAGACGATTTAAATACCACTTATATTCAAGTTTATATAACTATTTGCGCAACTGCTATTATCTAACTACGCCACGCGCATCGCATTCCTGCTACAGTCGCATTCGAAATCTCGTAACATATTCCGCTTGGAGCAACGTCTCGGCACGCACTATCGCAACACAAACAACACTAAAGCAACACTTCGAATAAGTCGTCGTCAAAATGTTGATGCCGTCGGCACTTTCGTGCGACTCGTCGCACCCTCCTGTTACCAGGCTTCAGTCTGCTCTTTTCGCGTCGCCGCCTGCTAGTCCCCCAACGAGCGCGCAAAACAGCACGCTCGGAAACATTTTCCAATCGTGCCGCGCGCTCCAATCTATGCTCACAACACCCGCGACAGTCCCCTCAAATGACAACATCGACGCGCGCCGGGATCCGCTACCTACACCGCCAATGGCTCACACCGCTCTTCCTCCTCTAAAACTACGTCTGCGATCGCGCAAAACAGACAAGAATGGGGAAGTTCTTCCTAGGAAGAGAGTCGTAAAGCGATCAGCAGCACCACCTCGCGGCGCCAATAAGCGACGCCGCGCTGTTGAGGATGACATGGGTCGCGATGAGGACATGGACAGCGACTTGGAAATAAGTGGTTCCGACAACGAAGAGTCAAGCGCCCGACCAAGCACGCCAAAACGCGCTCGCCTTGCGCCGGAAGTAATACCACTAGGTCTAGAGCGGAGAGATTTCCACAATTTACACTCTACCAGGGGCGAGGAGAGTATGGTAGTAGAAGGCACAGAAGTGGAGGTAGAAGCGGACGGCGAGCGGTGGAGTAAAGAAGATGACCGGATACTGGTCGAGCTTGTCCTGGAGAAGCTCAAACTCTCCAAGACAGACTGGCAAGACTGCGCGCGGAGTCTGGGCAAAGACCGGGGTAGCATCGGGCGGAGGTGGAGGAGTCTGATGATCAATGGGGATGTCGGGCTTAAGTCGTCGAGGAGTCGGCGAAGCAAACTACACAGCACCTGGAGGTGAAGTCCACGTGCTCTATCCATTCATTCACTTGTTTATTTTGTTTTGTTTTTTATCTATTATTCTCCTGTATCTCGGGACCCGAGTTTCAGCTGTACTTTGGACAAATATTGCGGTGTAAAAGCGAAAGGCTAGGCGCTTTAGAGTACTGGATACCTGGATGAAGATATCCCATATCGCGCGAAACGCGCTTGATAGGTCGGCGGTGATTGTCGGTTATACTTTTTGGATATCAACTATTGTTGGAATATAATGATCTTGCCACTTATTATTCCTACCATCTTCTACCACTGCAACGCCCGAACGTGAAGTCTTTACTTGTGACTTACAGCCAGTTAACCTAGACGGTTAGACAGTTGAATCTTCATGCATGCAAGTCCCCCTTGCACACCAAATGTAGACAGACAGATATCTACACCATTGTAGCCTCCCAGGGCTGGCTAACCACCTAATTAGAGTGGCTATTATGAACCTTCCAACCCCGTATTTTCCAAAAAGGGCAAAGCAGTGGCCTTATTACGAGTGTAGATAAAACCCTCACAATCCGCACACCTTGAATCCGAAAACGGGCTATCAAGCGCTCTCGGTACGGTACCCGGTATTCTCGCTAACGATCACCAGGGTC